AGTAAAAAAAATGTCCTTTAATCTATTGGTAAGACTTTTTGTTGAAATTTATCATCCAATCTGTTGGTAGAATTTTATGCAAAAAAATAAAAATTATTATTTTATTATTTTATTTTTTAAAAACTTGATTTTTTTAGGAAATTATAAGACTTTCCAATATGTTAATAAAACTTTATTTTGAAAATAAAATATTGGCCCTTCAATATGTTGGTAAGAATTTTTATTTTTAGTTTTTTTTAAATTAAAAAAAATTATAAAGTTTTTCAATATGTTGGTAAAACCCTATTTTTAAAAAAAATAATTGCCTTTCAATCTGCTAGTAAGGCTTTTATTTAAATTTTTATTTTGTTATATAAAAAAAATTTTTATAAGAATTCTAAAAATAATAGACAAATAAATAAATAAAATGGCATATAAAAAAAAGCAAAATTACCTGTAGTTTGCTTAGCTTGGCAGTTAAAAAGGGCAACTACAAGCACAAATCAACTTGAGCAACTCGAAACTCGACTTTCGACACAGCTCAACTCAATGCAGCAGACAAGGAATGGGTCAAAATCGGGTTGTGCTGAGGGTTAGGTGCAGTTGGGTGCCTTAAAGAGTTTTAAAATGGCATCATATTAGGTTATTATAAAAACTCAAATTTCATGCTTTTCTTTAAAAGTGCTTGAGTATGCCTCTTTTTCTAAAATGGTTATTCTTCTGTCTTCTCTTTAACTGATTCATAAGTAACCAAAAACCAATGAACAAATCCCAGAAGCTAGCAAAGAATTTTTAAAAACAAATGAGATTCTTTGACACAATGTTAGAAGCTTAAACTCCTCGCTGAAAATTTCAAAAAATTTTCTAGAAACCCAACAAATTATCCATAAAACTAAATCTAGAAATCCCTAAAATACAAAACTCTTCAAAAATTCAAACCCCAAAACACCAAATCCTAATTCTAGAAAATCTAAACAAATCAAACCTAAAACTTAAAACCTCTTGGTTGCTAAATAAATTCATTTATTTTCTCTCAAAAGTTTTTGTATAATCTTTTTCTCTTCCCCTATTTTTTTTTTCCTTTGTGTGTGATTGATTGGTGTTTATATAGGGCATTCTGCTAGGATTTTTAGGGATTTGCATTGAATGAAAAATTGCAAATTTAATTATACTTTGAATTGATTTTTTCTTGATTCTCTTTAAAACCAGTTTAATTAATTTCTAAAATTGTCTCGATTTTTTTTAATTTTCAGAATCCCTCAAAATTTCTCAATTAAATATGACTTTGATTCCCTAATTTAATTTCTTTTCAACCTTCCTTTAATATTTGAAGAGATCATATTTTAGTCTTAATTGTCGATATCATAGTTGATTAATGCTTAAATTACTCCACAAATTTTATTAACATGATTTATGATAAAAATTTAAAATCAAATAAATAAAAGACTAAAAGATAAATAAATAAGACGAACAAGATATAAAAAAAAATGTAAAAAATTGGACAATTGGGCTTGGATCGAATTTGGGCCCAATTGGTTTGAGATCCAGACTAAATAGGGTGTCTACAACTAGAAATGTGACCTAACCTTTTATGCCATAATAAAAAAGAGTTTTTTTTAATCAAAGATCTTTTAGACACTATCTTTTCAACATTATTGTAACTATATTCATTATTGTAGGCTAAACACAGTTTATATAAATTGTCAACTAGTTTAAATTCACCAATAACATTTGAATTCCTTTTACTTTTGAACCCCTGCAAGGTAATAGTAACGTGAATAGTTACACCATTATTAAACCACCACAAATTCAATTGGGCATTAACAAAATAGGATTCAAAACAAACGAGAACTAATGAGTTACCTTTTTATTTATTCTTTTTCTTTAACCAAGCTTTATATTTGGGGCACTCATATTTCTTGTGACCTTTCTTCTTAAAGGAAAACACTTGATGTCTTTTTTAATGATAGTTTTAAGACCTTTTATCCTTTTAGTTTGACCACTACCCTGTCCTTGTTGTCTTAAACTTTTTACGAGCATAAAGAACAAATCTCCCAAGTTTCCTATTCGTAATTGGGTTTGGAGTAGGTAGTGAGATGAGCACTTTCATTCTTTTCTTTATTGAGTTTTTTTGCCCTCAAAGACTTATTTTGAGATAAGATCATTAATATTCCAAACCTTATTCATAACATTATAGGCAGTTTTGATCTAAGTGAACTCAATGGGTAAAAAATTAAAGGCATGACGAATAATGAATTTGTCAAAGAGAACAGTTTTGTCCAATTTACTTTGAATGTGGACCATTCTCATGATGAAATCTTTAACACCTACACTGTCATACCTCATACTTGTAAGCTCACTCATAAAATTTCCAACCTCAAGCTTACTACATTTTTAGTATTTATTACCTACAATATTGTAGAGATCTCTATCAATTTTGATGCTATCCAACCTACTCAAAAGATGTTCAAAAACTGGTCTTTTAATAGCATATAGACACATACAACTTACCCTTTCCCATTTGACAAAAAGTTTTTTTTATTCAACAATACTTTCATCAATAAGATCAGCAGGCTTTAGAAAATACAAGGCTATGTTTATCTCACTCATAACCAAAGCAAAGTTACAATCTTCATTCTATCTCTTATAATTAGACATATGAAGAACTTTAATAGTAGCTTGATTATTATTGACAGTAAAAGTCACTGTTCAAGACGAAAATGCAATATTAGTCAATGGATAATATCATAAAATGTATATCAACAGTTCATGATGTGTTAACAATTACCAAAAAGTCTTACTACATCATCAAAAACTCCACTTTGGGTAGAGAATGCAACATGTGAATAAGAACTTTTCACATAAAGCTAATATGGGAATGTCATAATTTTTGAAAAACCTGTCCCCTTTGGGTACATAAACTTTCTAGACCGGTGCATTCGTAATCATAATGCTTTATGTTCCAAAACAAATTACCTTACATATTAACCTTCATTAGGCAGGCCATTGCATAAGATAATTTAATAATTATCCCGTAACTTTAAAATGATAAAATATTTCATTAATTTTAATAAGTTACTTTGATAGCCAAACACATATCAATTAATAAAAAAACTATTCAAACTTGAAAATTTTCATTAATTGAATAAAATTCTCAGTTTGCATACTTAGCCATAATGTATGCAATGGACCACTCCAGCTGAGATCTAAACCTAGATGTATCTCATTTGATCTTATAAATAGTGTATATTGCATTTAAATTTGGGTCTTGAACTTAATTAAAATCTATTTTTAATTACTAAATCAATTATGCATATAAAGTTCAATTTGAGAGTACATAAATATCAAGGTCTATTTAGGGAAAGTACCTATTGCTATTAAACTCCCAAGAATCCAAAATATTTTATCATAAAATAAAATAACTAAAATCATGTGCTTAACATATAGTAATGACTAAATAATGCATGAATGTCAAACAACTATTTCATGCAATTTAAAAATTCCAAAAAAAAATTAAAAAAATCAAAAATAAAATTTCAATTATGCCAAAGAAACTGGAGCAAAAACATACACCAGACGAGCCCACATGCGTTATACATGCCACTCGCTGCACATGGGCTTTGTCTTACGTCAGGGATCATCTTCAACCTCCAATTGAGTTGACCTAATCCGATTAAAGCGATTTTTTGACCCGTTCGGGTCTGTTGGTTGTTTTCTCCATTTTTTCTCCATTTTTCTTCATCTTTTCATCAAATTTAAGTGTCCAAAATTCAATTAAAGAGTTTTTCTATCAAACCTATGCAAAAAAAAAAAAAACACATAAAAAACCAACAAAAACAAGATTAATTAACCAAAATTTTTGGATTAAATAAACCTATATTCAACCCATTTTTGTTTTCTTTATATTTGATCATCTACAAAAGATTTTATGTAACCAAACATTTTGATTTAGCTTTGTAACACATAAGAAATATGATTCAAGTATCAATTTTGGGAATTAAATACATAAAATTTTGATGTTTTGATCAAAACAATAATTTAGATTAAAATTAAACTAAAACTTTCAACATCAATTTCTTTCTTCGTATAAGGAATTAGAAAACGATCTTTATATGGTTTTAATCTTCTTTAGGAACAAAAACCCTCAATTAATTTAAAAAAAAAACTCAAAATTTAATATTCCGACAACAACTTATATCGTCCAAAATAAGTAATCCATTCAAAAATCAATTAACTAACATGATTTTAAGGTTTTAATATCACACAATGAAGCTCCGATATCACATGTAATCACTAACCCAATATCATTGTATAAAAATTAGAAAACCATAATATAAATGAAAAGATTCGACATACCTGTTTGAATGGTCATTATGAATTCGTGGAAACAAAATGATCCTTGGAGTGATTAGGTCTTTCTCTTCATTCTTCTCTTACTGGTGGCACTCAATGAATAGTTATCATAACTTGTAAAAGTAAAAAGAGACATTAACCTAATTAATTAAATAACCTTAGAAACTTTCTCATCAAAAGTTAACTGGATCAAAAGTTTACATAACTATCAAACTATACTAACTTAATAAGATATGTAAAACTCATACTTAGATGATCATATTAAATTATTTAAACTTTTATAATTATCTCTTATTAAAATTAAATTTATCAGTTAATTTTATTAAATTATTAAAATCATCAATTAATAATAACCACTTGCAAAAAATTCTTACATAGTTAACGTCCATTAGGTCCAATCATAAAATCGATTTTTCATTGCAATGAAAGTTCTGCGTTCGAAATCTCAAATGAATTTTTAAATTTAAAGTTACCAAATTCAACTAGATAAGCCAACAACATCTCACTTTCCTAAATTACCAAATTCAAACGTGCCAGAAACGTAAAATAAAATTCTAACAAGGGCCAATCTTAAAAAAGAAAAAACAGAAAAAAACAAAGGGCATTCGAGTAAAACGAGAAAAAAAAAACTCAACGACACCGCACCATCTGGATGTATGGCAGTTGTTTCCCAACCGTGACCAACTGCCAAATTAAAGCTCCAACCTTTCCCCGCAAACAAAAACCATCTTTTTTTTTTTTTTGAAAAAAATTCTATCCGAAATTCATCACCGCCGGAGACGCCGTCGTTTTTAACGCCGGCGTTTCCACCACTCGGTCCGAACATTCTAATCAAAACACCTAAACCATGAAGCGAGGCTTCAGCTTTTCATTGCCTGTAACCGTTGTCGTTTCGGCCATCGCTTTTATTTACTTTTGTACGGTCTTTATTTTCATTGACCGTTGGTTTGGTCTAATTACCTCTGCTGGTATCATGAACGCCGTCGCTTTTACCGGTGTTGCCTTCATGTGTGTGTCTAATTACGGCTTTGCCATCTTCGCTGATCCGGGTCGGGTCCCGTCTTCTTTCATGCCCGACATCGAAGATTCCAAAGTTCCTATCCATGAGATCAAACGCAAGGTACGCTCCAAAAGAAAAACATTGATCAATTCATGTTATGCTTTGTCTGCTAAGGTTGTTTATATTTCCTGTCTGAAGTACGAGAATGCTTGATTTTGTTTGGTAATAATTTGGATAAAGTTTTATGTTTTTAATAAAAATTATTAATTTTTCCAATTTTAATTTGTTAGAAATGAAGAGAATAATGTTGTGGTTATTGCATTTTTCGTGATTATTGCATGCAAATGAGCTGATTTTGGAATTGGAACAGATTAGCAAATTTTGCATGAAAAAAAAAATGATCCTTGGAGGGTTTTAATTATGTCTAGATTTGGTGAAAGTTTTGGAATTTAGGAGGAATGAGATATGTTTAATTACCTGAATGGCAGGTTTGATTGATTTTGTTATTCTTCATAATGTGTCAAAGATGCCAAAAAGGAGATGAGCAAAATGCATTAAAATTTTGAGTAAATGGCCTATTCGGAAAATCGAGTTAAAATAATTGGTTAATTAATGTGGGAAAGAAAGCAGAATAAAATTAATGTCCCTAAGCGGTCCTTGTAATCAGGGGTTTGATTGATATATTCTGCATTGCAGAATGACCTTAAGCTCGCAGGAAGGTTAGAGTATGTTGCCATGTTTTGTTTATACATTTGATATTAGTCATAAAGTATTCTGTTACATGTTATTTCATTGTTAATTATAACAGAAACTGTTATTTTGGCACTGCATCATTTGTGTTAGGATGACGCTCTTTCTGTCATTGAGGTCTTTCTTAACTACCAAAACTTTTATTGTCGTCATCAGGAGAACTATTTGTCATCTTGCATCACGTAATAATTTCCTTGTTTGTCAAACGGATAACTTAAAAGTATAAGTTGACGTAATTGTGTCACATTTGATCTTAGATATTAACATTGACTTTACTTGGAACCAGAACAATTGAAAAAAATTGTTTTTTCCTGTTTGCTTGAATCCTCTCTTCTATTCAAAGACTGGTTTTGATTGATTTGTGCCGAATTTTTAAGTCAAAATAATGTCAATGGGACAAAAAATCTACATGTAAGTGGAATTAAAATCTTTGTAATTTGGGTGGGCTTCTCTAGAAAGTATGCTTCAACCAGGGTAATAACAGGAATATATGTAGTCAATGAAATTTTATCGCATTTGGGAGGTTAATAGACATGTTTTTGTTGCATATCTTTTATTTCAGTCATCTATTTCCAGATTGTGAACTGTGCTCGGAATGTTTTGTAGGGAGGGGACTTGAGATATTGCCAAAAGTGTTCTCATTTTAAGCCTCCTCGTGCACATCACTGTCGTGTTTGCAAAAGATGCATTCTGAGAATGGTATGTGCAATCTATGTTATCATTCATAAATGTCTCAAATTTCCTCAACAATAATGTGCTAAAATTGCTCTTCTTGATTATAAGGATCACCATTGCATTTGGATAAATAATTGTGTCGGCCATACCAACTACAAGGTCTTCTTCATCTTTGTTTTATATGCCGTAATTGCTTGCATCTATTCTCTGGTATGTCATATCATAGTAACATATTTATTTCCCCTTTGATATTGAAATTGTCTTTTCTGGTTTATGAAAGCTCTTTCTTATTCTTTAATTATGTACTTGATTGCCTTGCGCTAAGTACCCCTTCTTCCTTTGGATTGACCTTTGCCATGGTGGTTTAGTTTTACTGGTGAACACCAGCTGGCTTCTGATGAGGCCTTTTGGTCCTTTTCTCATTTATATTTTCTATTCTCTTAAATGTCAGGTTTTACTGGTGGGTAGCCTAACTAATGATTCCCAAAATGATGAGCAGCAAAGTGCAGACTCTTACAGAATCGCATATGTAATGTCCTACCTTCTAGAGCTAGAACTTACCATATCTGTGCTATGCTTATCACTGAGCATTTTCAGGTTATTTCTGGACTGTTGCTAGTCCCCTTAAGTGTGGCTTTAAGTGTTCTCCTGGGTTGGCATGTCTATCTCATTTTGCAAAATAAGACCACAATTGAGGTAATTAGGATTATTTAGTCTGCTTTCACATTTAGAATGATTGTTTTACTTATTTCCTTTATTTTTTTTTTTTTTAAATTGGCAGTATCATGAAGGAGTGAGAGCTATGTGGCTTGCAGAGAAAGGAGGGAATGTCTATAAGCATCCATATGATCTTGGTGCCTATGAAAATATAACAACGGTAATAACTAGTAATGAAACTGCTCGTCTCCTTTTTCTATGCTGAGGGATGTGAGATGTTGCATTGATGACTATTACAAGACTTAACTGAGAAGACCTCACTTCTTTACTGTTAGATTTAGGTTCTATCTTCTGTGTGTTCAAATACCCTCAAATCTTATATATTATAAGCAGTCTCCATATGCCAAGAATTAACCTGCCAACTATGGTGATCTGATCATCTAGTAGGCCAGCTGATGCTGACCAACACTATATTGAACATCATTAACCTGGTGCATTTTTTTGCCTTGTTTCCTTCTCATTTATTTTTATAGAAAGCTAGAATATATTTTATATATAACTCTTATTTCATCTGTTGCCATCTGATTGTTTTAGATATTGGGTCCAAATATCTTCTGCTGGATATGCCCCACATGGAGACACATAGGTAATGGTCTCCGCTTTCGAACAGCCTATGATGGCATATATGCTTCATCAACGTAAAATGAAGTTTCAATTATTTTTACATTGCTTTGGCAATAACAAAGTTTTTGATGCTTGAGGGTTTGATAAATGCCTACGTCGTGATCACATCTGATAGTCCCCTTGCAATAGTCCAGGAAAAATGAATTAGGAAAGACCGACCATTCAACACTGGCAACAGTAAGTTGGAGAGCTTTTGAAGCTGTTGCTGCAAGTGATAATGGATGAGGATGTGAAAGGTCGCTTGTCAATAACCAGGCAAAGGAGTCCTTAAAGCAATTAGAAATAGGATTGGTGGGGTTTTTATTCTTTTTTTCCCTTCTCTTACCCTTTTTTGAGCTTCTGATTAGAGTTGGTTTACTGATGGGTTTCGTACTTAGACACCTTGTCCTTGAAGAGGGAATCGATGTAGAAGTGATCATGCAAATCAACAGAAAACAAAGTATATCGATCATGTAAAAGAACTGTAAAATCCTTTTAACTCAAACACAAACAAAAGTTTTTGATACATTTCTGTTTCTTACCGAGTATGTTTTTCTTATTAGTATCACTGTTCTGCTTCTATCTCTTTGTTTCATTCCCAGCTCAAGCTCAACAACCATAATTCTAAGCAGGGAAAAATGGGTTTGGTTGTTGCATATCTTTACTAATTAGGTTTGTTTGTTTAATGTCATTATCCCATATCTTTACTAATTAGTACCCACAAAAGGTTAACTCAGTTTAAAAGAGTGTCTTTTCTTTGTGAAACTATTTTTGTTAGTACGTTAGATAATTGTGAAAAGCATTCAGAAGGTAAAATTCTGGAAGAAATTTGAAAAGTAAAATTTTAAATGTGTTATGCTGATGTGGAAAAAATCATTAAAATAGTTTAGTGTGGGAAGCATTATGAAAGTAAAATTTTATATGCATTAAATTTCATTAAATTGATACGAAAGAATATCTCTATTCGAATGACATGAGAAAGAATTTATTTTAAAAACTATTATGAAAGCAAATTAGATCTATGTGAATTTAGTACATAGATATTCTAACTCTATTAAAAAAATATCTTTGCTAATCTCATAAAGTACAATGCCAACTTTTATCCTCCTTTTTTGTCTTCCAAATTCTTACAAAATAACTAGATTTACATGCCTACTATCGTAATAATTTTGGAATCCCTCATAAATTTAGAAAAAAAAATAGTCATCGTCAATTTGTTTTATTAGATACAATTAATCACCTATTAAAAAATATATTTTTAATAAAATTTAAAATTAATTAGAATTTATTACAAAAATAATTTTAAGGTTTGTAAAATAATTTGAATCTAAAAATCAGTTACGTATGAAGAAAGATTAGTATTTTCATAACATTCATTTAAAACGGTACTAATTAAAAACATGTTATCTTTTGATTTTGATAAAAATAATTTTAATTTTAGTGTTTAAAAATAATTTCTTTAACTTTCTTTATTTATCAAAATTTTATTTTTTATTATTTATTTTCTTTTGTTATTATGTTTTATTCGAGAAAATAAATTAAAACATTTTTATTGAAATAATTATTAAAATATTCTAGTACGTTGTCAACATGAAGAGAACTTTTCTTCACTTAAAGATTTCTTAGTATTACTTCTCGAAATACCTTAAAAATTCATCTTCAGATGCTCAAATTTACTTTTCGTAAAAATTATGTCGTACATACATGCAAATGATAATATGTCAATGCACATATTTTATTTTGTTTTTAGAAATCTTATCGGTTTTTTTATTTATTTTATTAAAATTTTGAAAAAAAAAATTTTATCATATTAAAGATTTTTTATAAATATTTCAATACACTAGTAATATTTTTTAAAAATCTTTTCACTTAGAGATTTTATAAAATATCACTACTCGAAAAACTTTTAGAATTCCGTCATCGGATAAAAAACTTTTTTCTTATTTTTTCTTATTTTATTTTTAACAAATTAGTTTATTTTTATTTACTATTTAATAGCAAAACAAAAGGAAAATTTTTATTGTATTGAAAACTTTTTTATAAATACTCAAATACACTAGTAGTATTTTAAAAAAAATCTTCTTACCTCAAGATTTCATAGATATCACTACTTGAAGTATCTTTGAATATTGTTGTTAGATAAAAAAAATTTTCTTACATTTTTTATTATTTTTATTAATTTTCTTATTTTTTTTCAATTTAAAAAAATATCAAATTTAGAAATCATTTTCATTTTTATTATTGTTAGTATTATTATATTTATTATTGTTATATTACTATTTTATAATTTTATCAACAATTTTAACTATATATTTCATTATTTATTTTTGTTTATCTTTTTGTTTTCATTTTTATTAATTATTATTATTAAAAACAAAAAATACTTATCATAACAAATTTAAAAATTGTAACATGCATAAATATTAATAATAAAACTCAAAATAATAAAAATAATATCTATATAAAAAAAAAATTTTTACTTAAACTAGACCGATCAATAGTCCAATCGATAGTTCTGGTTGATTCACTCAATTCAAGCTAGTTTTATGGCCGTTTAAGGCGGTTCATAGGGTTCGGTTTAGACCGATTTGAAACTGACTCACTAGTGGTTCGTCTAGACCGTCCTAGGCTTGGGTGTTGAGGTAGGTGATCGAGTTTAGCATGTGGACCTCGGGTCAGGTCGCAGGTTGGCACGCGGATCTTAGGGGTTCAAAACAACATCATTTTTACTCCTAGCTGCATATATAAAAACTCGAAAAAAAAATTGTTCAATTTTTCTCCATTTTTTTTAAAAAAAAAAAGCCAAAAACACTCTGAACCTAAAAAAATCAGGTGTCGATCGGTTGCAAGAAATCGATCACTGTTCATCGCACAGGTTACTGTCGTTGGTTTCTGTCAGTGATAAAAAAACACAAAAAAAATAAAACATACCTCTTACCTCTTTCTTTACAGATCCAATCCTTTTTTCACTAAAAAAAATCCTAAACGGCTTAGATCTGCTTTTCAACTTTTGGCCAAATTTTTTTTTTTGTTTTTTCATGGATCTTGATTGCTTTTTGTTAAATTCAATGCTGGGTTCCCTCACCAGAGGGACTATATATATTTTTTTGTTTTCATGTTTATTTCTTGCTTTTTTTCAATGGTTTTTTTTTTTTTTTACAAAAGCTCTCTTTTTTTTTTATAAGATTTATTCTCTCTCCTCTTTTTACAGTTATTTTTTGGTAAAGATCTAGGCCAACTCTCAAGTCTCCATTTTTCTAGTTTGTCGCTACGATAAAGCTCCGATTGGGGCCCTATGCTTGGGTAAGTGGTCTTCAGGGCATGAGTTTGACTGTTAAACAGAAAAGTTCATGAATTTGGATCAGAGTGCAAGGGGTAAATGCTACAAGGCTCTAGGTAGGCTGGTGGCACTATAATAGAGGTTCATGAGCTCTAGGGTGATGCGAGGATGGGTAGGTGATGTTAAGGGCATGTGTACGGGTCTTAAAGGGTTTGGGCGTGGGAGGTAGTAAAGTGTATAGGGCTTTAGGTGCGGGGGTGGCAATGGTGCCATGCATGGCACTCATTGCCACCGACCCTTTTGTTTTTTTCATTTTTGATTTTTAGTCTTTTTTTGTATTATATATTTTTTTGATTAATGTTTAATTAATTATCATTTAGTATATTTTTTGTATTTTGATATAAGTAATAGAATTAAAACTAAAATTAAAATTAAAAATTAAACAATAGACTCAAGTCAAAAAAAATAGATTTCGATTCACGAATTCGATAAAATCAAAAAATTTAAACCGATATCAAGTTAAATTTCATGTGTACACCTACAATAAAGTTCGACTGATAATAAACACACAAATTTTTTTGTGCAAATTGCTGTAAAAGTTGGTCAAATGTGAGCAATTCTTTTAAAGTTGACCATATCAAAAATCCATTTATTTAAATAGAAAGATTTTTAACAAAATTAAAGAGTCAAATATAATTTTTAATTCGAATTTAAAGTAAATTGAAAAGGTCAAAAACAGCTTTAGATAGGAATTTCAACTCATCCATAATCTCATCTCTCTTAAATAATGTAGTAGTACCAACTAAAATGCTCATTAATAGAAAGAGGAGTTGAATATAAATTTTTAGCAATGTGGAGGGACGTGAGTGTAAATTTACGAACAAGGTAGATTTTCAAATTTACTGATTAACAATAGTTAGTTACGTAAAAAACACTAGTACAGCAATTATGAGTAATAATTGGGATAGTGGGGCCCTCCTCATCCACTGAACATGGCGCCACCTCCAATAAACTCAGGTGGCCTCAGGATGGTCCTTACCTGAGCAGCTTACGTCACGGCTCTACGAAAATACAAAACGAACGTCTTCGACCCTTTACGAGAATATAACAAAGCTTCGATATGTTATTGGCTCGTGTTTCCCACGCTCAGTTTTTCAACTATGTGTTAAGTGAAAAAAAAAGGCGGATTTATTCTCGGATATCCACGAAGATGGAAAAGGGTAGTCCGTTGTCTGGTCTCCTCCCCAGCTGAGAGTCTCAAACTTGCAGCCGGTGTTTGTTCGAAATGGAAGTAGATAACGAAACCAACCCATCTCAGATTAAGAGGTTCGGTTTCTGGGTCTTTAATTTCTTACCTTCTTTGATCATGTTTTGTTTTAATGATTTGCTGCTCATTAATTGCATGTTGTTGTTTGTTAATTTGCTTCACATAATGGAATCTTTGTCTTAATGTAAGCACGCTTTTGAACTTCTCTTTTTTTTTTTTTGTTTGTGAATCAGCTAACACCTTCACTAGATTAAGAATCTTGAGTTTTTCTGATATAAAGGTACTTAAAAAATTTTATTCACAAAATGTAGTATTTTTATTCTTATTTTTTAAAATAGGGTACTATTTGCCATGTAACTATTTAATTACCACGTAAGCTTTGACTTCCTGCTTTTCTTTTTTCTCGGATTTGACTCTTCTCCATTATGCTTTTCAATTGCAGAGTCCAATTTATGGACTGATGCGATGCAACATCATCAAAATTAAGATTTATAGCTCCAAACATGCTAATCATCAGACATAAAATAATAGAAATTTTGACACTGTTAATAACTTTTTTCAAGCATCTCTTCTTCTGTTTCTGTTGGCTTTGGCTTTCGTATTTGCTTCAGAAAAATCTTCAAATGTACTACAAATCAAGCTCTCAATCCCTATCTTTCAGTAGTAACATATGTGATCATGGTACTTTTTAAAAATCAAAACAAGGGTTAATCCAACGCCAAAGGAATTTGAAGTTGGGATCTCTACTCAGATAGTTCAACACCTATAGATCTTTAGCATGGCTCTTTGAACAAATTGAAGCAGAATTCGTGGCCTGAACTTGAAAGCGAAAGCCACAGTAACCTTCAATTTCAAAACTGGTTTATGAAGGAGTGAGGGTAAACTCTGAATCAAGAGGAGATAAGAAATCTGTACGTTTGGCATTTTGATTTCAGTTTGTAGTGGGTAGATGCAACCTAAATCTTTTGTTTCCAGATTTATCCGTTTCTTTTATTCGTGCAATCTCATTTGTAGTTTTTGGCTTAGATTAAATCGCAAAAGCAATACTTAAGAATGAATGGAGATTTGAAAAAGAGTAAAAAAATTTAGTTCATGAAAAACAGATGTAAATGAGAATAAGAACTTCCTGTCAAGTGTTAACCAACAGAAACAACTGAAGTTGGATTGGAATTGTAATTTAAGGTAGGAGACACTGATTTGAAGTATAATGCTGATGTGGAATCCAATTAAATTAAAATACATTTGCTTAAGAATAAAGTTTAAATGTACCATATTTTGTGAATTAAGAATTTAAAACTATCTTAGTCAAAGAAAAAACTCTAAGAATCATTTAGAATTTTGATGGAGTATTTTGTGTGTGGAAGTCTTGATTATGGGTGTATGTTAATAGTTTGATCCTGGTCATTAGTTCAGTAACTGCTATTACCAGCTATCTATTCTCTTTGTTTGATCAAGTTTTACCGTTTTACCTTATTAGCCTAAGTTCCGAGAGAAAGTTTTACAACCAGTTATTACTTGTGTTTGATCACGATAGAGACATTTTGTTCTGTTCATCATTTGGATCAAGTTGTTGCCTTTTTTGCCAAAAGTCCTCGGATGTTAGGTTAAATAACCTTTGTTTGCTTGTCATCTTCAGAACCACCCAAAACGACCTTTTTAAACTGAAGGAAGACACTTTAATCGACATAATACTTATTGAAGATCAAGGATGATGTCTATGATTCCTCGTCATTCATTTCTTTTTAGTACATAAGGAAGTCCACCAAGCATTGTGCTACTCAAACGTAAATGACCTGATCCTCTATAACTTAAATCCACTTTAATTCCCGATGCTTGAACTTGAAGCCTCCAAGTTGGAAGTCTCAAGATCTAACCATTTGATTGACCCCTTGGGACAAAGTATCAATTTTTGTAGGAAAGAAAAATACTATTAACTTTTTTTATGGTATCATTTCCAATCATTTAGAGGTTTATTATACAGTTATACAGGATTTTAGGTACCTTAATGGGGCCAAAGAGAATCAATGGCCAAGGCATCTTGAATATTTTTCTATTTCATGACTTCAGGTCAGCAAATGAAAAAGAAAAGTTGATCCACTAAATAGATTGCCTTCCCTTTTTTCTTTTTGGATATATCATTGCAGCATTTAGCCTCTTACTTGCAGACACCTCTCCCTCTTTTTCTTATTCCCATTGCTATTATCATTTTAGCTTGCTCAACAGGTCGCTCGACATTGTTGACTTAAACAAGAAAAGGAAATTAGAGGCTGAGCAGTTGGGCTTGCCTGTATCGAAGCATCAATGTTGGAAAGGAAGCTTATCATCAAAGCCTCCTACATTTGGCAGTATCTCGGAAGTAGAGGGGTTTAATCCATGTACTTTCAAAGGAGGAGGCGCTATTTATGATGTATCTGAAACTCAATCGGCAAAAGATAGCAACAGCTTTGCCGAAGATTCTGACTCTGCGATGTCTGTGCATGGTGAAGTTAAATTTGGAACAGGGGACGCAAAGTATATACTATATGACAGGGGTTCCTTCTCAGCTTCTGATTGGGAATCCAGTTCTGAAGGTTCCCGTTATTCTTCAGATGGTATAACAGTGGCATCAAGGGGTGTCGAAAAAAAAGTACCAGCTTCTCCTGGTGGGGAGCCTGAGCCTGCTGATTTTGAATTAGCTGGGAATCTTGAATCCCTTGTAGAGTATGAAAGTCATATAGATTACATCTACTCAAGACACGGCAACTACACCATAGAGCAATACCAAGATAAGGAAATTGAAGAAATTCTCAACTCCAGTGGGGAAAATCCAAATGTTTATGTTCCTTCATCTGGACGATGAAGTGTCAACCAAGGTAATTCCGCTATGTCTTTGAGAATATAAGCATTAATGGGAGGATTATGAATTATGATCATACATATGATTAGAGGCATTGGGGGGACCGCAGTGGAGGAGGGGGGGACAAAGAATCCTAGTCTATCCCTATCCATAACCCTATCCTTTGCTGTAGTTAATTTACACTGCATATACAATGTCACTATGTGAACACTATTAAATTTGGCTTTCCATCATATACTGAATGGAGAATTGTACTTTTTACTTCAATGTAGAGGCTCCACAAACTGCAAGGAAACCAATCATTGATCAAGAAGTTGAGCAGTATTTTTCCACGCTTATGCTGTAGAGGAAAGTACTCCAATCTGAATGTCTAAGCTGTGTAAATATTGGCCTTTTTTGTGGTTGTCTAAGTAACCATTTGCAAGAGATTTGAGGTAACGTTGGCTTTTTCTTTTACCTTTCAAATTTCAAACTTCAAGCCAACTTAAGTTTGGTTGTATATATTATTTGATAGTAATAAAACGTTGGTTTTATGCAGCTTTTATGAATACTCTTTTTTTTTCATTATTTTCCATGCAAGTTTTGCCTTTTTCATGTTCATCTTTCTGTTGTTTTTACTCATGGAATGCTCTTGCCTCGATCTGGAACAATTCCCACTGATTCAAACATAAGGGATGCTCTCTTCTAAATATGTTGGAAGGTGTATATATGCTTCATTTTGTGTGACAGATAAAATTTCAGGTCCTTTACACAATTATTCTGTGTTTTGGCAGCTTGTATTTGCTTCCTTGTTTTGTTTCATGAATATGTTCACTACCATGTTCGGGGACGTATACTTTTATGCCTCACTGCAAGCAACTTTCATGCACGGGATTTGCCTTTGAAAATGGATAAATTATGTCACTAATAGTCGCATTTGATCGTTCATTTGTACGTTTTGTTCTATCATGCAGATTTTGTTTTACTCGCAGATGCTTTCATTCGTTTTTTCTTGTTGTATATGCTTGGTTAACAAGCCCTTTTCAGATTGTCATCAACTGTTGATTTACTTGCTTTTTTATCTTTAATCTGATTTAGATCAAAGCGTAGGGGCATAACTGACAAAGCAAAATTTGTTCCGCAACCATCACCACAAAGCTTATTCTATCGGCCGAAATTATGTCGAGCAATGAGTTAATAATAATCAAAATCAAATCAAGAAGTATGAATTATGCCTTCGAATTGTGTAGTTGAAGGACAAAGTCTTTTGGTACCTCTTTTATGCTACAAAACTTGGTTCTGTTACTGACTTACTGTTGTGGATTTTACCTTTAGATAGCTACTAACAAAACCAGTTAAAAGAGTTTCTTTTCTCAAATTGCACATTGTCCTAGCTGATGGATCTTCCTTAAGAATATCCCACGCGATCAAACGGGACAGCATTAGCATTGTAAAACCGGCATAAAATGATGCAGTAGTGATAATCTGCAATATTCTTTTAACCAAGGACATCTAGTTTAGGTGGAATTAATTAGATCAACTTTTGATTGCAGCAAACTATCAATGACATAGGTACCATACTAAAGGAAACAAAAAAGTTTTCTCCCTTTTTCTTATTAAGACACGCAACAAAAGATTAGTCATGAAATTAAGTTACAATTACAAAGTGCAGACGGTTTAGAAACACTCAAAAAGAAGAAAAAAATGTAAATTTTGTACAGCTCTTGAGCATTCAGAAACAATAATGATAACTTAAAATCAACACTGTGGAAGATCAGGTGGTGGTGGCTGCAACTTCTGATTTGGTTGCGGACCATCCAAGACTATCCATGCCATTTTCAGTCCCCAGCTTATATGAACATCCAGGTGACAATGCATGCACCACACCCCTGTTCACAACTCAAACATAATTTCCCAAGTCAGCATAAAAGAAGCCACAGATTTTATCCGTTTATGAAAGTAAATTACAAAGAGAAAACAGATTATTTATCTGGATTGTCTGCAAAGAAACGAATGGCTAGCCAACCACCAGAAGGAACACTAGCTGTATTCCTCTCCATGGGGTCGACAAGATTGAAGTTGGCAGGGTCCTTATTTGGATCAAAGTTACCAAAAACTTGTCCAACAACGAATAAATTGTATCCATGAAGATGAAGTGGGTGACTCTCAGCACCAAGAATGCTAGTGGCCTGCAACACCAGCTCTACACTCGTGTTAAAAGGTAGCACTACCGCTCGTGTACCATTGATCACATTTGCGTTATTTGGTGCTGTGCCAGTATAATTAAATGGAATTAATGGTTGTGTAGGAAAATCTGTAGTGTAAACTCCATCAGATTGTCCAAAGTAGTAAGCTTGGAGAATAGCCACAGATGGGAGTGCAAATGAGACATTGTTAACCGAAGTAGCAAATTTGCTTGAATTATTAGGTCCTTGGCAGGTTGTGTTTTTAGGACAAGGGCTCGTCCCAAGTCCTACAGTGAAGAAAAATTTCTTGTCCACAATTTTTGGTACGTTAGCGGGGAATCTAGCATTGGCTAAGCTACGGAATTTCCCTGTAAAGTTTGCAACAAATGCTGTAGCATTAATTGGAGGAAGAGTAGGTTGAAGTAAGGTAAGGTTTTTAGAGGATTTGTTGTGGGATGGATGTTCATATTCAAGAATTTCAATAGTGGAGTTATCAAAAGTGCCTTGACCAGTGAAGTAAGGTCTAGCAGCCATGAGAAAGGAGGCATTGGGGAATTCAGGCTTGGTTTTCAGGAGAACGTTTATGGTTTGGCCTGGGGTGATGAGGAGCTTGTCGGTTTCGAAGGGTTTGGCATATATGGCGTCGCTCTCGACCACCGTTAAGGTGTGGCTGGCGATGCTGAAGAAAAGCTCATCATTGAGTGCAGCATTGATTAATCGGAGAAGATATGTCTTTCCTGGCTTCACTTTCAGCTTATATGTGTCTGCAACAATCATACAGAAACAAGCACGTTAAACTCAAACTTGCATGGATGGCTTAACTTAGATTGGAAAATAGTCAAGACACCCACTCAGCTCTGCCTGTTTCAGGATGTTAACCTTGTTTTAACAAAATCTGTGAACATTACATTAAAGTCAAAGCCAACCTGTCCATTTCATAAAAAAAATTGTTTAAAGCATTAACTGATACCTTTAGAAGAACAGTTGTAGAGTAGCCCTGGTAGCCCATTGATAGTATATGCATCAGAAGCATTGGGTCCACCTCCTGTCTGGAGTGCTTGGCTGATTATAGCTTCTGGGTCTACATTGAACCACTCTCCTGAAATCCCAAATCCATGCAGATATTAGTTTTAGAAAACCTGATGAGATGAAGTTAATACTTAAGGCTATATTATGCCAATTTCCTACCAAACATGATGGTTACTTCCTTGTGTGGTTTCTCAAATGGATTCATTGCGCTTTGGGAGGACGATTATCGGTCCATAGATTGTTGCTCTCAACCAGGAGATGTGAGCATGCCATAAGAGAGTTCCTCTTTGTCCTGTGATTGTGAAGTTGTTAATGTATGACTGGTTTGTTTGTATTGGACACTGTGTTATGTAAGAAGGTCCATCCGACCATCCAGTCGTAAGCTGTTTAATCCCATGCCTGTTTCCCATATTAAAACAAAAGATTTTTAAAACCCACAAATTACTAAAAGTTTAACAATACTATATAATATAAATATAATATGCATTAACATTTGAATTAAAGATTCATACCAGTGAATGCTAACATTATTTGCAATATGGTTAACCACTTTAGCAATGACTCTGTCACCTTCCCTTGCCACTAATCGAGGCCCTGGGAACCGTCGGTTCACACTCAGAATGGTCCTTGTGTGGCATAGTCTTGTAACATTGTGGTAGTGAATCTTAATCATTGAACAAGAAAAAATAATTATCATCAAATTCAAAAGAAGTTCAAAAAGACAAGTTAAGAACTGTTCCAATAATGTACATTGAAAGAATAGTGCCTTGTCTCGCCTTCTCCGTTCTCCAGATATAGAAACAGAACAAAGAAAGAAAAGAGCATTGCCATTGAAGGAAGATGTAAGGTTGCCATTTCTTTCTCTCTGCTGGTGATTTGGTGAAGAAAAAATGGGCAACTTTTGTTTGCTAAGTTTGAAGAAGAGCAAATAAGCAAATAGCTGCAGAATGCAAGGCTACAAATAAGAAGGGTTTAATATATAGGGATATGATTACTGATTTATTGTTGATTAGGTACTAAGATTTTCATTCATTGATGAGTTACACGTCCACCGGTCAAGATGGTCACCTTGTTTGCTCCGCTTGGCTGTTGGTCAAGCTGAACTTTGGAGTGTTGATAAAGTAAGATTTTTCTCTAACCATCTAAGTAAATTTTGATTACCAGAATGGCCTTTCCATATTGATCCTTTACAAAGACATGAACATGAACAGGTAGATTACTGTTAAGGGTATTTTTGAGTCTAGAGTATAAATTGGTCATTTTCTTATCAGAGACTATCCACAAACAGTCAAGAGCATTTTTTATTTTTGGGTCTACCTGACATGTCAAGCTGACTTAACATATATAATGCCCACATCAACCCGGCATCACTATTTTATCCTACAGACCCCTCACCTTCTGTTTATAAATAGAGTCAATTAGGTACTATCAATCTAATCTTATTTTTCCTTTACTTTCTTATTTTCCTCTCCTTCCAACCTCCCATAACCCGACCTTTAACTTGAGTGTTAAGCGCAAAGGCAAGAAACACCTCTTGCCTTTTCTCTTAATAGCTTTATTTATCTCTTATGATTTCAGGGTCTTTACCCTTAACTCGAAGCTCAACATCAATATTTGGTGTGCTAGGTAGAGGATTCATTCTTTAGCTGAGCTAAACACCATGACATCTAGAAAGAAAGCGAATGAGGAAGGATAACCAACAATCCTAGCTGAGATCGAAACTTACAATAACAAACCTATGGACCAACCTGTGTTGATACAAGTAAGACCAACTTGGAGCAATTCCAAGTCTTGACTGAACAGATCCAAGCCCTAAAACAAATGGTCCAAAGCATAACACCACCCCAAGCCTCAAAGTAATCGACCTGGTCACCTCTATCAAACAACCAATGGAAATATAGTCGAGCTATGAGGAAGTTGAGGGCTCTTTAATCTTTGGGGAGTAGGAACATGCCATTCCAACCACACATCACTACCCCAGCATAACTCTACCTAAGCCA